AAATTTGGCATTGTTATTCTTCCAAATGGCGATCGAATCGCACGTGGCGATGCTCAATATGTTCATGAAGCGTGTGCCAAAAGTTTAAAACGTCTTGGTCTCGATTATATTGATCTCTATTATGTTCATCGTATCGACAAGAACGTACCAATTGAAGAAACAATGGGTGCTTTGAAAGAACTTGTTGAAGCAGGTAAAATCAAATATATTGGTTTATCCGAATGTTCAAGTGACACTCTTCGAAGAGCACATGCTGTTCATCCAGTTACAGCCCTAGAGATTGAATATTCACCATTCAGCTTGGATATTGAACGTGAAGATATTGGTCTTTTAAAAACATGTCGAGAACTCGGCATAGCAATAGTTTGTTATGCACCATTAGGCCGTGGCTTATTAGGCGGACAAATTAAAAGTCCAGATGATCTTGCAGAAAATGATTATCGACGAAAATTCCCACGTTTTTCCAAAGAAAATTTTCCTAAAAATCTTGAATTAGTCGAAACATTAACATTGATAGCTAAGAAAAAAAATTGTACTCCTGGTCAACTCACATTAGCTTGGATTCTTAGTCAAGGAGAAGATTTTTTTGTAATTCCTGGAACAACAAAGATCAAGAATTTAGAAGAAAATGTTGCTGTAGCACAAATCAAATTAACTAAAGAAGAGGAAAAAGAAATTCGAACAGCTTGTGAAAAAGCCAAAGTAGCTGGTGGACGTTATTCAGAAGAAGTTGATTCACTATTATTTGCTGATTCGGCACCAAAAAGGAATTAAAAAAGCTTGTTAGCGCAGCTCCTTCGGAGACGAAATGTGGAACTCACGTATATCCTTCAACCTTGTTATCCTAATACATCATCCGTAAACTGAAAAAATTCTCGTCGACTGTAGTTGTTTTCATTAATCATCGATGACAAGAGCGAGAATTTATTATTTATTTCTACATTTAAAATAGAAATTTTTTTTTTCTACGGTGCTCTATTTTTTGTTTGCATTGTTGCTATTCGCTCATTATTTTTTATTTTTTTTTTATGCTTGTTTTTTTAATTTAATATTCTTATTATTATAATCATTAGATCGGCAAATAAGCCTATTTTACATATTCATGATATCTACAGCACATCTTATGCACTATTGTATATATGTTAATCAAGGGTGTGGGTGTGGGTGTGGGTGTGAGTGTGGGTGCGGGTGCGGGTGGGCGCCTGTACCCGCACCCACACCCAGATCCATCTACCCCACACCCAAACCAGCATTTCATCGTAAACGGTTCATAAGAGGTTGCATGGCCCTGAATCCAGGGCAAGACAGAAAGCTCTATGAGACATTAATAATACTCGAAAACTGTCTCATACAACTTGACACTGTCTTTATCTATTGAAGGATATGAATGAATAATCGATAGATTTTGGATGAGTGTATGAATAGTTTATGATTAATGGTGAAGGCGTATTAAAAGCTTAATCAGTCTTTCGTAGACATAAAATTGATGCGACGATCTGTTGAAAACTCATGAGTAAAAATCAGACAAATACCTGGTTTACAGATCATCATACTCAGAAAAAACTCACATGTTTGTCTCTGAAGTGATGTGGTTTAATTTTGTTTCCTACTTGGTCTGACTGAAGAAAAAGAAAATGTCTCGAACAAAAAGAAACACGCTTGTCAACGAGATACGTCGTCATCTTTCTCATTCTTATCAAAGATTTATTACTTACAGCCAAGCATCATGTTACAATTGGAAAAAGCCAACGTACATGTCATAATACATGGTTTTTACTTTTCAATCCCGTGAGAGTGGAGAGAAACTAAAAGACGATCATTGTGACTCGGTTCAGGTAGTATCATTCACTTCTCTTTATGAGTCAAAATATGGTTTGGGTTTGTTCGTCGAATATTGAGTTTGAATTAACGGGCTTAATGGCAGGAAACAATGTCAGATTTCGAGCACAATAGACGATGAGATGTGATATCCAACTTAAAACTATGCCATCAAGAAAATCTGACGTCTTTAGTGTAACAGATTGAAATATACATACAAACCAGTTGACGATCAAACAGTGGGGCATCTTATCTCTTCTTCTTAAAATGGTGTCCTCTGATCAAGCGCGTTAATTTGTATGAAACACGTCTATTTTTGTTGATAGAGCCACCGCTAATTAATGTTATACTATGAATTACTTTTCATCACTCTAAGACTAGTAACGATAACCCCCCTGCAATGGAATGTCCCTTGTATTACAAGGTCCTCCCTATTTAGAAGGCCCCCCTGAGAGAGATTTTTCGCGGGAATTGTGCGCATTTTGCCGGGAATGTTGGTGAAATTTGGACCGGATGTGACTCGCCATAATATAAGGCCCGGAGCCTTTTATTGCGGGAAGGGAGGTTTACTTGGTTCTCTAAACCAATATGATCTAACAAATTATGACTTTGAAAACTTATTTTTCCATCCAGGAGTTGTGCCCAACATACATGTCTTAGTCATGCTTAGATGATATTGGACTGCTTTAGACCTATTGAAGGTGCCAATGTCAAAGACATCTTTTGCGACCAAAAACAACCACTTTCAATACACATCGACGTAATTGGTTGTCAGCTCCAGTTCAAATAAATGAACCAGTCATAACTGATGACTAATTTCAACTTGAGGTGATAAGTCACTCTTTTCATGCGACGTTTCGGAACTATTGAGCTTGAGTACTATGCCTTGATCTTCAGTGTACAGATTACAACTATGATTGATAGGGTTATTTGTCCACACAAATAGTGAAAATCTGTAATATTCTTTTGATATAAATCAGCATATTTACTTTCGGTATGTCTACAGTGTTTGAGATATTACAACGACTGTTTTTAAATATGAATAAACGCATCTTGAAATTGCGTAGAATACAATATTAGATAGATTATTTCTTGAATATACAATGAATGATAATTACAGTACTATGTCATTGCTAGCGACTGTCATGAATCGGATTGATTAAACGAAAAGTGATCCATGATGGTCATGAACGGCGGCTGGATGAGTGTCGATAGTGTAGTTGTTAAGAAATGATAGGCAAACAAAGCTTCTTAGTCTGTAAGATTATGAACAAATCTCGAGATATTTTGATCGCTATTTTAGAAATCTATTATGTTTTTTCAATTGACTAATACCAATTCATGCACGATTGTGCTACTGGTTTGCACCATGATCTTCGATGCAAGCCAACAAACAGTGTCTAATGGTCAATTTTCTCCTGCTGACATAAAAATGAAACGTTTTAGTAATGTTGTGTCAATATCTGTTCATGAACGGGTGCCAGATTTGGTACCTTACCAAGTGTTTTTACAAATTTTGTTTCGTCTTCCGGAAGCTAATGCAAAAAACTATATTATATTCAAACAACCGTCATCGGACCAAGATGATGAATCATACGTTCTTCGTGGTCTGCGAGTAGGTAGTTTTTTCCCTTCTGATATTCAGTTAAACTTAAAAATGTTAAACGAACTTGGTATCATCACAAACGGAACAAATGAGGACGAAAATGTCCACGATTTTATCAAACGGTACATACCAGACTTTTCTATTCGTTATTATACATGCGAATCGTTTATCTTCACGCTGATAAATGATGCATTTCAATCGTCAGAATACTTGGATAATCTCATCAAACTTCGAATGATTGTAACTGATTTGCATAATATGTTAGACATCAAACTAGGTGGCCTTTCTCCTACTAATTCGACCACAACCGGACCATTTTATAAAGCTCAAATAATGTCGACAGATAAACTTCGTTTATTAAAACAAAGTATCGGCAATTACATAACATTCAAATCATTTTTATCAACAACGACAAACAAAAGTCGAGCCATAGATTTTATTCAGAACAATCGAAACAAAGATAAAAAACAAGTGATGGTCTTGTATATGATTGAAGTGAACGATCAAAACACCGTTCAAGAGCTCGTACAACCATTTGCCAATATTACTTTTATAAGTTGTACAACGCATGAACCTGAAATTTTGTTTTCAATTGGTCAAATTTTTCAAATTCATTCAATTGATCAAGATGAAACAACTGAAATTTGGACGATTCATTTGCAAGTACTTACTAGCAATGACATAGAACACTTGCGTAATCTGACAAATTATTATCAGGACAAAATAATTGGCACAGAAACATTGTACAACGGAATTCAAAGAAAGGTCATGTTCGAACCTCTTACTATTACGACATTTGTAACTATTGGAAATTATTATGCATCTATTCTTGTCAAAGATTATGCTAAAGCGGCATATTATTATGAAAAATTTGTCCAAGAAGAACTTGAATCACCAGATAATTTTGATAATGAATATCGATCAGCATTTGATTTACCGCGAATTCGTTATCTGTATCATTTAGCTCACGGTTTCATTTATCTCCAATTAGCCAATATCCGATTTGAACAACGAAAATATCTGGAAGCTTTTGAATATACTAAACAAGCATACACAGCATATTTGGAAATTCAATACAATCTGCACCAACAAACGTTACTTGTACCAATCTTCAATAGTTTTGCCAAAATTTTTTGGAAATATTCTGAACAATATGATCAAGCTACACAATACTATTTACATGCACTTCAAATTAATAGAAACGACGTCGACACATTCATTAATATTGGTTTAACACAAATAAGTAGCGAGGAGTATTCGCACGCTCTCAATTCTTTTTCAACTGCACTATCAATTCTTGAGACATTCAATGGAACAGATTATGTTTCGACTGGACTTATCTATCGTGGGATGGGTCGTATTTATCAAGAGTCAAAACAGATTTGGCAAGCATTAATCTATTACTTAAAAGCAGAAGAGATTTATAAATATTCTATTCCTTCAAATCATGAATTACTAGAAGAAATCAAAGACGATATAAAAGGAATTCTCAACGTCAAAGATCATGTTCGTGATGATTTATGAAGAATAGATAGAGACACAATATTAGATGTGCTGCTCTTGTATCTACATTTTTAGAGTTCAATGTACCGTCCAAGTGAATGCAATGAGCTATTTTAACTCTCTTTCTTTCTCACTTTGTAAAATAAAAAGTTTGCAACTGTAATGAATCGTATTTGTATTAATAGCTTTTAAGAAAAGAGAGCCAAAAGACAAAAGAGAAAGATTTCAATAACCACAACTATCAACTCACTCAACGATAAAAGTATATCTTTACTGGCTTTCTTTTCGTCAACTTCTTTGTTCATCAAAAAAGAACATCGTCAACCGAATTGTCTTCAATACTCACATATTAAAACCACGACAAAGCCGAAACTTCAAAATTAGTTTTGGCTTTGGTGTAGTCCTATTTATAACTGTCGAATACAAAAATTGGGGTGTGACTATGGGTGTGAATGTGGGCGTGGGTGAGTGTGGGTGTGAATGTGGACGCGGGTGAGTGTGAGTGTGGGGAGTGGGTGTGGGTGTGGGGAGTGGGTGTGGGTGTGGGGAGTGGGTGTGGGTGTGGGGAGTGGGTGTGGGTGTGATATCACTCTACTGACATCCACACCCACACCCACACCCACACCCATACCCACCGACACCCACACTCACACCCACACCCATACCCACCGACACCCACACTCACACCCACCCAGAAAACTTCGACTCATTAAAACAATTGAAAGGAATCGGATATGCGTGTATTTATAAAATTCTGGTCTACTAGTGGAACTCGTTGTAATATCTCATTAATATCAGTAGTGGGCAGACGAGAAGATGCCACACCGACGACTAGTGCTTCAGTAGAAAAATTTTTTAATTCAGCTGAATTGACATTTATTCAATGACGAATACGTTTATCATCAAGTTAAAACTTTCAAATATATTATTTACTCTTTCTTGTTGTCTATCTATTGATATTGATTTTATTTTGAATAATTAATATTTTAAGTTTCTTTTATTCAGCTAATGAAATAGTATGGTGACCGAATATTCTGATTAGTTTTTTTCTTTTGTTTTGACTTTAGTGATATATTAAATCCTGAGAGATACGAACGAAATAAGAACTATTCTTCGGTTCAATGAGTGCAGCTACGAGGAAAGTAAAAGTGACTTCTGCTGAATCACTTTTAAAATAATTCAAAACTAACTTTATTAAAGCCCAAATAGAAACTTAATAGGTGAACAATGCATACCATTGTGTAGAATTCTATAATCATCTCTAAAGTTATCAAGATAACTTAGGATACAAAAGCTTGACCCTAATTATTCCTTTATGTATTGCTGACTTAAATGTGCATTAATTGATATTTGTGCAAATAAATATGTAATTAGATAAGAAATTCTATAGAACTAACTTCATGCTATAAAGCTAGATTTTGAGTTGAATAACCTTTAGCTAAAACAAAAGAAAAAACGCGCTAAATAAAATTTTAATATCGATTTCATTTTGGAATTGTTTCAAACATCGGCTTACATCCGAGAAAGTTTTAATTAGAAATAACTCATGAACACATATTTTCAAAAAAAAAAACGCAAATTCTAATTCTAATAAACTGTATTTTCAAAATTCATTGTTTCCTCTTATAAAACAACAAAATAGAAAGGAATATTTTGTTGTAAGCCTTTACAGTAGAAGTTCTAGATTTTACAAATTATAGTTCCTAAAATGTGAATTTAGTGAAATCTAGTCTATAGTTGCTAACGAAGAGAAAATACTTAAAGTTAAGTCATCGCGAAACTTTTGGTCTCATTTTTCACAGTCGCAATCTGTAAAATGAGGATCTTATTAGATGTTCAATATAATACCTCAACAAAGTTGATCACCGACCATTATCCAATATATCATCAAAATTTTTCTTGCTTTTTAGTTTATGGGTGTGAGGTGTGGGGGTGGGGGTGTGTGAAGAGAACAAGAACAGCCCACACCCACACTCACACCCACACCCCCATATCACAGAGATGGTTCTTTGAATCTGATCATTTTAGATAGAATTGGTCAGATAATATATTACATATCAATAATAAAATAATTAAGTTTTTGTAATAATAATCTTAAATGCATTTTGTTTCTTCAATGTTATTACTAGATTTAGCATTGAACGAAGATAAAGAAAGTTTATCTTATCCTCTATGATCGATGACATAATACCAACACATTATATTACTGAATAATATCATAGAGTTCACCTTTTATGAAATTATACCATTTTGCAATCAGTACAGGATAGAGTCAGACATGGCTCAGTTTTTCGTGATCCGATCGATCAGAAATCAAAAATACTCTTGGATCCATTTAAGCGAGTTTCGTCAGAGATTAAACAATTTTTTTTTTAGTGACTCTATATGAGCTCTTCGACAACTGAAAAGAACGAAGAAGTCATTATTTCATCTAAAATTCCTCTTTGTTTGATGTGAAGTTTGACATCAGTTAATTTATTGTGACCCGATCCAAGTTGGATCCTGATACAAGGCATTAGAAAAGTACAAAATCTAAAGATATCATTTCAGTCAAGCTATGAAGGACGATAAGATTAAGCATAGTATACATTATGCTTTTTGTAAATTTTTGTCTCGATTGATTCATTTTGTAAAAACGAATGAATATAAAATATGTTTAAGAAAAAAACAAAAGAACAGTAAACAATTTTATGATCTCAGAGACGCAACAGGTGTGTTAAGAATATATTCAAATAATGTCACTTGATTGTTGGAACGAGAATATCGATGAAGATAAAAATATAAATCTCTCACTGTTGCCTTTTCTTCTCTTAAGTAATCATAAACAATAGAAAATGAATTAACTAAATTTTTATCACCATAAGATGCATAGACAAGTGAACGTTTAGTTTCAGAAGCAGCCATTAATTGAATAATTGCTAACCAAAAAAACGAAAATATATCATAAAAGCAAATTTAGTAAAAGTAAATCAATCTTTACCTTTCAATTGTTTGTCACCATTGAAGGCACCACAACCCCAGTTTCCAGTAACAATAGGAAACTCATAATTAGGTCCTTTTCCAAGAGGATGAAAGCTTGTATAGGCTTTGAGTAATTCACGTTCAATAACTTTCATCTGATATTGTATTGATGGATCACGGAAAAAAATAGCATCCATAGCTACAACATGACACCATTTTCGTCCCCAATTATCTCTGAATAAATAAGTTTTCCATTAAAGATTTATTTTTTTTTAACGATGAAGACATTTTTTAAAAGTAGCAAAAATCTAATTTCGAAAAAACAAAAATCTACATGAGAAACTCCATTACATAAATTAAATTTTTAACATTCAAAATTGAATTTTTAGGAGTCAAATTTTTCAAATCAATATTATTAAATAATTTACTTTGAATTTATTGAAAAAAAACAAAAGAGCATTACGTACTTGGGTGTGTCATCTTTATAATCTCCGGCGTATTCAAATGAACTTGCATAACCTTTATATGATGAATATCGTTCACAACCAATAAGGAATATACATTCATTCTTTTCCATCATTTCACAAACAAGTAAACTAACAAGCATTTCAGGACAAATACTAAAACGAATTTCTTCTTGTACACAACCCGAACCTAAAACACCGCCGCCCTAATCTTCATAAAATTCATTCATAATAAAAAAAAATCATTTTATTTATATACTCACGATATATTTATTGGCAAAATCAAGCTAAAAAAAATATAAGAACAATCAATATATGAAGAAAAAATTTTTATTTACCTGTAAAGCACCATGAACATCTTCAATTTTTTTATTCGTTGTCAAATTCATATCACCGAGATGAACGTTTGATTCGTTCCATAATGGAAAATAATGTCGATTTAATGCAAAACGTCGAAAAGTAATTACACCATTAGGCACTAAATACAAGAAATTTATCAAAATAGAATAATGATAAAATTAATGTAAACATACTTTTTTCGGTGATACGTTGAAAATAATGTAAAATACATCGAAGTTTTTGAACTTTTACTAACGATCCACTTTGATATAATCTTCAAATGAATAATAAATTATAGAATTGAAAATAATAAATACAAATATTTTGTACCTATTAAAATTTGGATTTGGAAAATTTTCATATTCACTTGTCTTATCCTGATCAGAACGATATGGAAATAAACAAAAAAATGCACAAGCTAATAATGAAGCAGCTTGTTTTTGAGACATTGTAACTGAACGATTCGATTCAATACGTAATAAAGGTGGTGGCTAGATCAAATAGATATCTAATATTTAAAAAAAAAAACAATAATTATGATATATATACTCGAATACAAATTCGATCAATATTTAGTGCAAGAGAACAAATATTTGGAAGAATTTTCAACATAAAACTAATGCGTTCTTCATTCGAATAAATCTGCAAATAATATTAAATTAATTTAATAATTACAAAACAAAATATACTTACATCATTAATAAGTCTTTCGAGAGATTTCATATCATAATTATGTTCAGTACATTGTTCAATTGTTATCTATTGTAATATTTCATTTATTTTGAATTATTATACAAATTTTAAATAATTACTTTGAGATCTTTAAAAGTTACTCTATTATTTTCACATTTTTCTTTGAGTTGAAATAACAAATGTTGAATTTTAGGCCATGCACGATGTTTATTTCTCTTTAATAACAGAAAATAATGTGAAAAATAAGTAAAGATCATATTAACTAACAGTCATATATGATGGTGAACAGGGCATACGAACATGATCATCATCCCATCGATCAACATAATTATTTTCATCATTAGTTGGCTTAGGTTCTTGATCATGATCAAATTGTTTATATTTGAAAGGCTATTTGAAAAGATAAAAATTATTTCTATGAAGAATTTAATTTACTTTAATCATAAATATTGAATTTTTATCATTAATAATATCTTCCATATCTTCAAAATTTCGTGGTTGAAGGTATCTATTAATAATATTATCAAAAGATACACCCTAGAATACAACAGATAAAATAAAATCAAATAATTATAAAACTTACTTTGGATAAGGAATCATTCATTCCATCTTCATTGATGAAAACATCATGAATCTGTATATCTTCATCATATCATTTATTAAATATACAAAAATTATTTTTTTGAAAAAAAAAATTTTGATTTAAAAATAACATATACAAACTCAACTTACCTTGGTCTAGTGGTCCATTGCGTATTGATTTTTTACGTCGTGGTGAACGTCGTTCCAGAGGCGATCTATTACGGGATGATCGTCTGCGATGTGGTGAATGTCGTGCTGCATACGATCTTCTACGATAATTCCTAGGACTTTTTGGACTTGATTGATGTTTATCATCGCTTGTACTAGAGGCACATCCCATCAGTTAAAGCGCAATAGCGTATTCTTTTATAAAATTAAAAAAAAAAGTTGCTTGATAAGAAAATGACATGAAAATATTTCTTCCGTTCTCTGTGTCAATAATTCATTCTCTTCCTACTTTATTTTTGTGCTGGATAATTTATGGCTTACTTTCTTTTTTTTTACGCTCTTGGTTTGTGCAGACACGTTTGTTGCAATAAGAACAAAATATATATTTCAGACATAAAAAAAGGAAAGAGACTCGCCATAGCAGTATTTTTTTGCGTGGAATTTCGAAGGTTCTTAGCAACAAACGATGTTCAAGTGTAAAGAAAATTTGAAAAACATAAATGTTATTTGAAAATTTTCTGAACAAGTCAAATGTATTAGAGATAATCAAAATAAAATAAAATTTTTGTAAGGTTAGTCAAATATTTCTTTAGTTCATAATAAAACTCAGGAATATCATTTTAAAAAATATCAATAATGTAAGAAACTACACTGTTTATTAAAGTATGTGAATATAATATAGTACTATAATGTTATATCATCATTATGAATCATTTTTAGTTATGTTTAATTGAATAGAAATACGATTCACTCAATGTCAGCATCATCTTCAGTGATGAAATTTTTAACTTTTTGAAAAAAGATAATGAAATTCTGCGTCTATCATCGCGTCTTCTTTTCATAGTAAAAATTCTCTGTCTTCAGTTGTTCAATACCAGCAAATATATTTTTGATTAATTCATCTTTTAATAGACCATGCAGAATTGATTGTTTCATACCAAATTCTAGATAAACTAAATTTGGAAAAAAAAGCAAGAAGACAACGAAATATCTTGTAATTGTCATATTTTGCCCATATGACGAAACAGAATTCAGTAACAGATAGTATTTGTAAAGTAGTATCGAAAAGAATATTTTCATTCACGAAAGCAATACTTCTATCTTGTTCAGTTTCATCTAATGAATCTTTAATTCAATCTATCAATTCAAGCGTTTTAATATTTGGAAAAACTTTTTCAATACATTGAAATATTTCCAAAGTTAATGATGTTGTAGTAATGAGTGAACGAGAATGAACACGTTCAAAACAAAGAGAAACTGGTCGATTTGAAATACATGATGAAATAAACTCATTTGAAAGATGTTTAAACTGAAAACAAAACACAAAAAAAAATGTAATGATTAGCAAATAAATTAATCCCTTACTCGATCAAATTTATATGGTAAAGTAAAAAATTGTATGCTAATGTGTACAACTATCATTCCAATATACTATAGGATTGAATTGTTGTCAAGTAAAACTTTGAAAAATTTCGCTTTCTAATAGAACAGAATCTGCTACAGTTGAATGAATAATTAGATCAAGTGATGATAGACGAGGCATTTTATCTAATAGATCCTGTGTTGAAGTCGTTTACCATCCACTGTAAGAAACATTAAATCAATGTTTAAAAAGAGACTTTCAATTGTCGATCCAAAATTAGCAAAGAACATGTCCATATGATCAAAATATTTAATCCATCCTGTAAAAGTAATTGAATGAAATGTACTACATGATTTTATTCCTTTAGTATTAGGTGGTTCTTGAACAATACATTCTTGACTTCGAATTTTTATCTGTAGATAAAGAAAAAACAAATAGGAATTAGAAATAAGTAAATTTGATTAACTTTCAATTCCTGAATGTTAGGGAGTATAAATACTGGATGCATTCCTTCAAGTACAACTGAAACATGTGTTAATCGAGTACAAATACCAATATCATCATTATTAATATAAAGAGTACAATCATTTATAGTAATATGTTTAATTTGAGAATCAGATTGAAATAAATAAATTGCTAGATCTCCATCTTCATTTATAAAAAAAGAGATGTTATAGAAAACTTTTTTAAATGTCTATTAAGTTGACTTAGTACTTGTTTTTCTTTATCAATATCATAATTCAAATTAATCACATGTACAGATTGAATATTATTTGATAATAAATATTTAAATATAAAGGTGAGATAGTTCATTTGTAGACAAAGTTCAATAATTTTGTGTTTGTTTAATAAATCTGGTAGATAAGTTTGAATCTATTCATCAGATTCTTTAGAGACATTCAATCGTGCAATAAAAGATTGAATGAGTGCTTGAAGACGATGAGATTTTAGATCGGCAAATACTTTTATGATATCGATTGAGCTGGTACTGTTTTTTTCCTTTACGAAGTAACCACGCATTGATGTTTTTTTTTTCTGCGTTTCATTGGATCAGAACACATGTTTAAAAATAGTCAGAATGCAACAAAAAAAGAAATCATGAGAATTAATATTGCAATACTATGAAAATTACGTGATCATAATACAATTGCTCTTAGAAACACAAGCACATTCTTCAATACTGTCTAAGAACAATATGTTAATTGTGTTAATATCAGCACATTGAGGGATATTTTTCTAGCATAAAATTGATTGATCAAATCAGAATTTTCTTAGTTTTCGGTGATATAAGTTACAAGGAAATTTTAAATTACCCAAAACAATGATAAATACATTATTATTTCTATTTAAAGGTATTTTTTGTTTCGTTACTGTTAAAATACTAATACTGTCTTTTAAAAATATATAATTTTACAAAGAATAAAATTGACTGAAATGATACACTGTCGGAAATCAATAGAGTATTTGTGTATATATTTTCCTTATTTTAAAGACACTTTGCGCAGAATTTAACATCTATTGTTTGGTACTAGTAACTTCTAAAATCCATTTTGGGCTAGGATGTGGGCGTGAGTACGAGTGTTTGCATGATTGTTGTATTTAGAACACTCTCACGCTCACATCTACATCCTAAATATGTAATTAGATAAGGAATTCTTTAGAACTAACTTCATGCTATAAAATTAAGTCTTGATTTGAATACCTTTTACCTAAAACAAAAAAACAAATGAACCAAATAAAATTTTTATATCGATTTCAGTTTGGAATTGTTTCAAATATCTTTTTATATTACAGAAAGTTTGAATTGGAAACAACTCATGAACAGATATTTTCAAAAAATACATGAAATTGTAATTCTAATAGATCGTATTTTTGAAATTCATTCTTTCCTCGAATAAATATTCAAAACAAGAAAGAATATTTTGTTGTAAGCGTTCATAGTAGAAGTCATGCTTAAAATAAATATCTTCATTAGAAAAGTTAGTATAAAGAATCTGTGAGAATCTGTCGTTTTTCTTCGATATCATTTGTATGTCAAATTTAGTACAACAGCTTCGGTGCAAGAAAATACTCGATAATTATCTCAAGGAAAATCTCAGTATTTTTTGAGAAAAGTACTCTAAATGTTTTGCTATTGTCTAAGAAAATGACTCAAAGTTATGCCATTGTGAAATTTTCTCGTCATTTTGAACAGTCGCAATCTGCAAAATGTTTTTCTTGCTTTTTTAGTTTAGATATTAAAGAGACAAGATCAATTTTTAAATAAAATCTTATCAGGAACTGAAAAATTAACTGAAGAAATATTGTTGTTTCGAACCTTCATTGTTTACATATCGAAATTTTTCTGGATGTTTCAACAAAAAAAAATATGTAGTCCCTTTTCGGTTATCTAGAAAATAGAATTTCGACTTCAAACTTTGTGCGAACAAAGTTCTTAGAGATTCGCTAACATATAGAAGATTTTCGAATATTAAATATCTCAGAATAGAAAAAAAATCTAGAAGAATTACACCTTGCCCCAAGAATTAATCTCATGTTCATGCAAAATTTGAATTTGAAAGTTGATTTTTCATGTGATCTGAATAGGACTATAGGTTTCTGTTGAAAAACAACGAAGGCTCGAAAAGCAAAACCATTCTACACTTTTCGATTACTCATCAAATGAACGTCGTTTTACTCGAAGAGTATATCGTTTCTTCAAGTTGAATTTTTATTCGCTCTATTTTGATTGATATGATCTATTTCTTCAGTTCCAAATCCATTCATCTCTTGGTCTTTTTTTAGGATTCATTTATGAAAACTGTTCATTATTTGGATTCTTCATCATTTATGTAATTCATTCAAGAACGTATGTTCGATGAATATTATCTTTAATTATTTCATTTGCTTTCTATACTTCTTTTTTCTTGTTTCTTTTCGATGATTAATCTACCTTTCGGAATAATCTTCTGAAATATTGTTTCGTACCGTAGTATACTGTCTTTTTTTTTCCTTTGTATATTGATCAGAGGTGATTCAAAATAAGAACTGATGATAGACAGAAGAAAATAATGCAATTTTCTGACAAATGAATGACTTATCTTTATGTTGCATCCTATTATTTTGAAATCACAGTACAGAATGACGTATAAATAAAACATATTTTCAGATAATGGTGACATCGGGTAATACAAACAATATTAATCAACAAAACTTAAAAGTCGAAGAATTAGCTGCAGCGACTACAGATAAAGCTATTAAACGAAAACTAATGAAAAACCTAAACAGGAAAAACTTTAGGCTACTGTAGAAGCACTCGTAAAATAATTGATGATGAAAACATGTAAGAAAATGATTCTTCTATTGTATCTAATATAATGGTTTTACGAGATATGATTTGAACTGAATGTTGAAATATAAAACATTTGTGCAACTGAAACAATACTCTATTAGTAGGGGCAAGTCCAGAGACTTTGATAGAACTGCTTGGATTAAGTTCTTTGGAAAGAAATTTTATTTGATGGAGCAAAATAAGACGTCACCGAGCTCTCCATGTACTTTCTTTATTGACTTATTTTTGATCTACGGAGAACTCGAAAGGCAATTCGATGAAGGAAGTTCGTGTAGACTTCGAAGACATCTTATTTTGCTCTATCCAATAAAAATTTTTTCAAAACCTCGAATAAATACGAGAAATCTGGTTTTGAACCTCTTGATTTTCTTCAAGTCATTATTCAAGCGATTATGTTGAGACCTTTGGGTCCACTAATTCTGATGAAGAATAGGGTGGATGTGGGTGTGGGTGTGGGTGTGGGTGTCGGTGTGGGTGTGGGCTTGGATGTGCGTGTGTGGGTGTGGATGTCGGTGTGGGGTGTGGGTGAGTATGGATGTTGGTGTGGAGTGTGGGTGTGTGGGTGTGGGTGTGGGAATGGGTGTGAGTGCGGGTGTGGGTGTGAGTAGAAGTCTTCTCTTCGCCAACATCCACACTCACACCCCACACCCACACCCATACCCACGCCCACACCCACACTCTCAAGTCTATAATGCTTAAGCATTATTGGCACTAGGACTAATTAATGCTTAGATATTAGAATTAATCTAGTATTAATTTCAATTCTAATACATACATATACTCCTTGTAAGTTCTGAGCTGCTATCTTGGCATACTAAGTTTAGTTTTTCAAGGACTACTTGGGAGTACTCTTTGGAACTATTATTCAAGTGCTATCTTGGGGTACTATGTGCAAATTTGTCAAGGTTTACTAGATGTACTCTCTGTAACTTTCCCACTGTTGTATTGACATTATAGCAGTATTTTGTTGAGAACCAATCAAATGTGATACATAATATTTTAAAACCGTCTGATATTTATGGAATAATCTGTTCTCTCATCTGGAACATGAAAAATTTCAGACATGTTTTCTAGAAAATTTTATTGATATTTTAGTGTAACATATATATTCTTTCTCAACTTTACAGGAAAGCCAATGGGTGTATAGATGAGAGTACTGCAAAATTAAAGCAGATTTTATTTTTAGTGCAATCAGAGATCAATCGTCCCAGTTTTTCACTTTGATGAGGAAGACTGTGCTGTGTTATGTTTTGATTGGATAATACCATATAGTGATAAATGCGAAGTATTCAAAGGATTCAAAATATGTAAAAAACAAAAGCCTTAGAGAAAAGCAACCAACACTTCTTTACCGTTCTAGTTCTTGGCCTCATTAGTTTGATTGGTTGAGATTCTATGCAGAGAAGCCAATTTAGAAATATCGTCTCGAAAGTCGCCACATAGTGCATATGACTTCTAAGAACTCATGAGCTCGAGTTTAACCGATTGTGCCAACTGATTTTCAGTCAAGTTGAAGTATTGCTATTCAATTGAAACACTATTTTCATTTGTATAGTATTCGAATCACCTCTTTATGAGTAAAGAGATATGAATCGTCCTTGTTAGTTGTTTTTCTCTCTTGAGAAACTTTAGTTTTTCTAAACGTGACGCGAAAAAATAGAACTTTTCCTGAACCACTATAGGTTTTTTCTATTACAACTACGCTTTTTTCTGAGGATACCGACATGGATGTTATTAATCTTTCAGTCTCATTTATAGTCAGACCAACATCCTAGAAGGATCAGTATTTTGCCTTAGATGATTTCTGGTCACCCTGTACATGAGGTGTGGGTGTGAGTGCGCATGTGTGTACAAGAATAGAAGATCAAACCCACACCCACACTCATTATTACAGACCACAGCGATACCCCACTCCCCATTACAGGCCATTACACACAAACCAATTAATTAGCTCATTAATAACATTGTAAGTTAATTAATTAATAATTAATAGCAGATATTTTCAATATTTAATATCTCTTACTACTTCACGTGCATCCTATAGATATGGTTATTATTAAGTAAAAAGACGTTATGTATTGAAGGCGTATCGGACAATAACAAGAACCTTTTTTCAATACTAGGATGTTAAATGAATCAGATAAATTGACAGAAAAGTAATTATAAATATGAAATTTCGACAAAATAATATTTCAGAGTGTGCTAATGAACTATAACAATTCTTATAATTGTGATTTATTCATTTATTTGATATTTTTTTTAAAAATTGTTGTGAAACTTCTGATTATAATGATAAGAGAGATCGTAAAAAAGTGTTTATTCTTCAGAATAAGAAGGTACTTACATCAGAGAAAGATAGTGTCAGCAAAATTCGTTTTGTTACATTCGAGACTGTTCATTATTAAGAAGTGCTCACTAGTAAAAGTTTTACTTTACGTTACATGCTCATCTTGTAATGAGGTTATTTTTGTAATATTAATCG